TGCAGATGCTTCAGGAAACGGGGGGCCTCGCGCGCGACATGGGCATAAATTGCATGGTAGTGGAGGTGGGCGCTTCTAGATTTCTTCCGGCTTTTGAAAAGAAATCCCTTCCGGGGCGGGTGGTAAGAAGCAGTCACGGATATTGTCTTTCGCGCCCCCTTACCGTACTTGTGCCCCTTGGTCCGGACCGCAGAGATCCCGTTCGTCAAAGCTTCAGCCATGATCTGCTGATGCTGCTTGCGAATGTAAACTTCGCCTGGACTCTTTCGCGCCCCGGCCTGTTCGCCAGTGATGCGCACCCTGGGCTCGTCGCCCCCCATGGAGATGTCCTCCCTCTTGAGGGCCAGGGCTTCGGAGCACCGTAGGCCGAGGGCGCCAGTGAGAAAGATTACGAAGTACACGCGCGGCCCTGCATGCACCTTGAGCCACTCCAGCCAGGCCTTCCACATCGGAATTGACAGAGCTGGAGCTTGGCCCAACTTTTTTTTGCATGGCGGCGGTGCCTTTCGGTTGCGGGCCCGGTCTAGGCCCCCGCGGCCCATGTCGAAGATGCCAGCGGCCGCGGGGAGCAGTAGCAGCACCCCCCCGGGGCAGTACGAGCGAGATTTGCGGTGGCGAGAAGTGGTTCTGCATTGAGCCCGCAAATGGCAGAGGGGGGGGGAGGGGCTTGGGCGGGAGAGGATGGGAGAGGGGAGAGGGGGCGGGGGACAGGACGGGGGGCCAGGCGCGGGAGCCAGGGCAGGGCGGCGGGGTCGTTTGGGCGGAGTGCGATACAGCAGGCACATGTTGGATGCGCTTATCCAGGAATCATTCCTGGCCGCCCTCCCCCTTCCCTCCCTCCCTCCCTCCTCCACCACGCCTGGCCGCTCCCCCCCCCCCCCGTCCATCCATCCACCCTGGCCGTCCTTGCGCCGCGAGGTACCAGGGGAAGCCCATCCAGTACCTCTCCATGTGGGCGCGCCGCCCAGGCAGCTTCCCTGGGGTAGGCCGGAGATGAAGGAGGACGAGGAGGAGCGGGAGGGGGAGGAGGAGGAGGCGGAGGAGGAGGACGACGACGAGAAGAGGAGGAGGACGACGACGACGAAAGGAGGAGGAGGAGGGGAGGAGGACGCCCTCCGCCTTCTTTTTTGTCCGTCTTGCATCCCTCTATTTTACTTGCGGCCGTCTGAGGAGGAGGAGGTGGAGGAGGGGGGGGGGCAGGGGCATGAGGCGGCGGAAGAGCAGGAGGGGGCGTCCGTGGCGCCACGCGAGTCTCTCCGCGGGCGCCTCCACCCAGGGGGCGGAGGAGGAGGAAACCTCGCGAGGCGGAGGAGGCGAGGGAGGAGGAGGAGGAGAAGGAGGAGGTGAAACTGGTATAGGAACCTGTTCCCAGCACAAAGCAGCTGAGCCAAACGTCCAAGGAACGATCACAGCTGTAGTGAAGACGTGCGCGCAACTTCTACATATAATCGAGCGCCTGGCGCAATTCCAGCCGCGCGCGGCGACGGAAGTGTTTCCAAACGCATTGCGGCGCAAGCCACGCGGCGCAAGCTGTGGGAACCCCTTGCCGTTGACCTCAGGAGGCCGCCAGGGGGCCCCAGAAGGTCACCGACGCAAGCTGTGGGAACCCCAGGCCGGTGACCTCAGGAGGCCGCTTGGGGGCCCCAGGAGGTCACCGACGCAAGCAGTGGGAACCCCAGGCCGGTGACCTCAAGAGGGCGCTCGGGGGCCCCAGAAGGTCACCGACGCAAGCTGTGGGGCCCCCAGGCCGGTGACCTCAGGAGGCCGCTCGGGAGCCCCCAGAAGGTCACCGACGCAAGCTGTGGGAATCCCAGGCCGGTGGCCTCAGGAGGCCGCTCGGGGGTCCCTAGAAGGTCAGCGCGCCTCAGGTGACCGGAAAACGGTTCCCACAATTCGGTCCACAAGCGAAGGTCGGGGGGCTTGCAGGTGATGTAGTTTTGGGGGATGCCAGCCCATCCTCGTGGCATCGTCGAGGTCCCGCACAGGGGGAAACGTAACGAATTTCCCCCCTTCAAATCAGGAGCTAACCTATACTCATGCTTTGCAAAGCCCCCCACTGCGCCACACAGAGGGCCTGAGGACATGGACAAGGACGAGGCCAGCGGACCCAAACAACCCTTGTAACACTATACCTACTTCCCGAGAGCCCGTAAGCGAAGCAATATTCAAGACGTGCGCACAACTTCTACATACAATCGCTGTTGCTCCCAACGCCTGCTTCTGCCAGGCGCGGGGACAGGCGCGTTTGCACCCCCCTCGGCCCCATGGGCCGCAAGAGGTGCCGGCAGTGCATTAGCCGGCAAAGCAAAGTGCGCAGTGTTGTACAAATCAAGACTGAACAAATTAGACAGGTGATAGAAGTCAGAAAGCCAACTTTTCAAGAGAGCTATACGAGGCGAAAGGTACGCACAGCTAACCGAGTGAAATATATAATGATGGGCATGTAACATCCCCCTGGAAACAGGCTGCCTGGTGCAGCCCGGAGTGAAAACTGATGTTAGCACCGCGGTAGCGCCACCGCGCCTTCGGGATCGCGAGGGAGGCCCGAGCACCCCGGCAACCCAAGGTTGCAGGCGTTCGCGGGCAAGTTGGGCCAAGATGCCCGCGCACACCTGCAACCCAGGGTTGCAGGGGTGCTCGGGCCATCCTGGGCGACCCGACATCTCCGCCCGCCGCATCTTCGGGGTCGCGAGGGAGGCCCGAGCACCCCGGCAACCCAGGGTTGCAGGTGTGCGCGGGCATGTTGGGCCAAGATGCCCGCGCACACCTGCAACCCAGGGTTGCAGGGGTGCTCGGGCCATCCTGGGCGACCCGACATCTCCGCCCACCGCGTCTTCGGGATCGCGAGGGAGGCCCGGGCACCCCGGCAACCCAGGGTTGCAGGTGTGCGCGGGCATGTTGGGCCAAGATGCCCGCGCACACCTGCAAATCCGATGGCCAGGCGCGCCCGAGCATCCCGGCAACCCGGGGTTGCAGGCGTGCGCGGGCATGTTGGGTCAAGATGCCCGCGCACACCTGCAACCCAGGGTTGCAGGGGTGCTCGGGCCATCCTGGGCGACCCCACATCTCCGCCCACCGCATCTTCGGGGTCGCGAGGGAGGCCCGAGCACCCCGGCAACCCAGGGTTGCAGGTGCGCGCGGGCCTGTTGGGCCAAGATGCCCGCGCACACCTGCAAATCCGATGGCCAGGCGCGCCCGAGCATCCCGGCAACCCGGGGTTGCAGGGAAGGCCTCCTCCGGAGGGCCCGGCCCCCCGGAGCTTCCCGGCAAATCCCGGGCCGCGCGGGCCCGACCATCCCGGCAACCCGGGGTTGCAGGGAAGGCCTCCCCCGAGAGGGCCCGGCCCCCTTGAGCTCCCCGGCAAATCCCGGGGCGGGCAAGCCCGAGCATCCCGGCAACCCAGGGCTGCAGGGAAGGCCTCCCCCGGGATGGCCCGGCCCAGAGTCTCCCGGCAAATCCCGGGGCGGGCGGGCCCGAGCATCCCGGCAACCCGGGGTTGCAGGGAAGGCCTCCCCCGGGAGGGCCTGGCCCTCCTGAGCTTCCCGGCAAATCCCGGAGCGGCCCCCCCTCGGGCTTCCCGGCAAATCCCGGGGCGGGCCCTCCTGAACTTCCCGGCAAATCTCGGAGCGCCTCTCCCCCGGGCTTCCCGGCAAATCCCGGTGCGGGCCCCCCCTGAGCTTCCCGGCAAATCCGGGGGCGGCCTCCCCAGGGCTTCCCGGCAAATAGGAGGAGGAGGAGGAGGAGGGGCAGCAGCAGGGGGAGGAGGAGGAGGGGGGCGACGACGACGAGGAGGATGAGGAGGATGAGGCGCAGGAGGAGGAGGAGGATGATGATGAGGAGGAGGAGGAGGGGGAGGGGAGCAGGGGGAGGAGGAGGAGGAGGAGGACGACGACGACGGCGACGACGACGAAGCACCACGCAGGCACGGCACAGCGTTTCTCAGTCTCAAGCCATCAGCTCAGTCGAGAAGAGCAGTCGCGTCCGCTGCCCGCTTCCGGCCCGGCACGTCCTGCGTTGCCGGTCGCATGGCGCACCCGAGGCGCGCTTTGCGCGCAGCCCCCTCCGCTACTGAGGACCTGCGCCCGTGGCAGCAAAGTTTGCGAGCTGACATGAACAATCTCTATTCAAGTGGCTGGCGCAATTCTGCCGACCCCCATCAAGGAATGAGAGCTCCGACGCTCTTGGAAGGTGTCTAGTGCAGATGGGGGGCTCTTGAGGGCCGTTTTGGGGCCTCTTGGGATCTTTCTGGGGCCTCTTGGGGGCCTCTTGGAGCCTCCTTGAAACATTTTGGGGTGCCTCCTGGGACTTCTTGGGGCCCTCTTGCGGCCTCCTGGGGCTTTCTCGGCGGGGAAAGGTAGTTTGTTTTTTAATTGTTGGTTGCCCTCTTGGGCCGCTCTTGGAACCGTTTTGGGGCCCTGTTGGGTTGTCTTGGGGGCTTCTTGGCCCGTCTCGGGGCCCTCCCGGGGCGATATTGGGGGCCTCTTGGGTCGTCGTGGAGCGTCGGGGAGCCGAGAAAGCGAGATGGCAAACCAAAAAAATGGAAAAGTAATGATTTTTGCATCTTGGGGCCCTCTTGGGAGGCCTCTTGGCGGCCCCTTGGGGCGTCTTGGAGGCCTCTCGGCCCGTCGCGAGGCCATCTTGTGCGTCTTGGAGCATCTTGGAGCGATCTTTCAACCGCTCGGGGCCCTTGTGGAGCGTCTTGGGGGCCTCTTGGGGTTTTCTTGGAGGCTCCGGGAGCCCCGTGTGCCGGCGAGTTCGCGCCCCCCCCCCCCCCCCCCCCCCCCTTAAACGGCATTTTGGGCCCCAGGGGGGGGGGGGGGGGGGGGGCAGCCAAATGTCTCGCGCGCCTTTTCACCCCCGGCAAGCGGGGGTCGGCGGATTCGGAGCTGTACTATCGGAAAGAGAATCTCTCGGATTACTTGGCCTCGGTCACCCTACCGCGCGGGGAGTGCGCCGTCAACGACGTCGCCCGCGCCCTCCAGCAGGCTTCCGGGGAATCGATGGATCAAGCGCGGGCTCGCGCAGTCGAGGCGTTGGGGGCCAGCGACGACGTCGCTGATGGCTCGCGCCCGACCGCGATCCACATGTGGGACCTCACGCCGGGGGCGTTCTGGCGCGGGTCGCCAGATAACAGCAAAGTGATCATGATTGCCAAGTCCATCGTGGGCGGGGGCTACCAAGCCGATGAGCCCATTCGGGCGCGCCCACTCTTCTTCTCCGCTTGTCTGGTTGGCCATGAAACTTTCGCATCTCTCTAGAGGGGAAGTCGCTGACAGTCGGGGCGCTGTCCGGCGGGGGGAGGAGGGGGGGGTATACCCCGCAGGGGTGTCGACGCCGAGGCCCCCCCGGTTCTTGAAACCGACAGACCAACAGGTATAAATCATTTCGCGCGCCCCCATAGTTCGGAGAACATCGGGTGTTCGAGGCGGTGTCGGAGGGCGCCTTTAGATGCAGAGCCGGGTCCTTTTGGCACGCCCCCACCCTCGTCAACAGTGACGACGACGGACGACGACGACGGACGACGAACGACGACCACGCTTCCCTACAAAAGCAACAGCGACGACGACGAGGGGCGACAACGACGACGGCGTACGAAGCACGACGACGAGAAACCACGACTGCAAAGACGTCGTTGAACGACTGATGAAGGCGACGAAGATAACCTACAAGGACGCCAACGTCGACGACGATCTTCGACACCCTACGATAACAAAGGCGAAGAACGAAGGACGACGAATGACGACGACAACAACCACCACGACGGACGACGAATGATAAGTAGCGAAGACAAGCCGACGACGACGATGACGACGACGACGACGACGGCGACGACGACGACAGCCACGACGGCAGCGGCGACAAGGCTTGCACCTTGGCCAGGCAGTTGAGCGCGGCGGCCCCCGGGGTGCCCAGGAGCTGCTCGCAGTGGATCTGCGCGCCCTCCTGGCATTCGCTCCAAATGCCGAGCCTCGGACGACGACGACGATGATGCCGACGACGACGACGAGGAAAACGACGACGACGATCCTTTTGGCACGCCCTCTGTCCTTCTCTTGCTGTCTCCTTCTCCTTTTCTGCTCCTCCTGGCCTCCTCCGAACCTCCTCGTCGCGCGGCCGCCCGTCCGCCGCCTTTCCCCGTGCTGGCCCCCCCTGGCCAGGCGCGGAGCTGCAACCTGAGCAGCGCGGATGGCGTGCTCATCGGACAGATCAAGCCAGGCGATGGCACCGCCCGTCTGACAGCGGCCCGCCTGGTGTGGTTGTACGTCTGCAAAAAGCTGAACGAGCCCGGGGATCCGAATGGCGCTCCAGGGAGGGTAATTTTATATTCTTGCCTAAGGGCTGATGCTGCACGTCCCATCCGAAAACGCCCTGGGGCCCTGGGGGCACCGGCCGCGCAAGATTGCATGCAACAGTTGCGCGGGACCCTCGCGGGCATTCTCCTTCGGACATTGGGGGGCCACGGCGGGCCATGGGGAACCGTTCGTGCCAGCCGGCCCCCCTCGTGCCAGGGGCCCCCCCCCCTCTCGCGCAAGGCGCTAAACCGTTTACACGGTAAACGTTTTTTCGGTTTGGCGTGTAACAAGATTCGCCGGAATAGACGCGCTAAGCAAAACCGCCTGGCCGCATTCCTACTCCTACTTTACTTTCATCCTACTCTACTCTACTCGACTCTACCCCAATATACGCTATTCCTGCTCTACTCCTGCTCTTATTTCGCTCCTGCTGTACTGCTGCTCTACGCTACTCCTACCGTACCCAACTCTGCTCTACCTGGCGCCACTCCAGGCATGCTGGGCCACCCTGCCGTGGCGGAGCTGCTGAACCAGCTGCTGCACATCCCCACGATATTCGATGTACAGGGCGACGGCACGGACGAGGACCAGATCGTGGCAAGCGCCGTGCGGCAGAACGTCAAGGCTGCCACCCAGAAGCCCGTGAACACGGTCGAGTACGCGTGCATCGCTTTGTCCTTCAGCGGCTTGCCGTTGGGCCCTGCCCACGTTGCGGCCAACCTGGCCGGGTGGGATCGGTTCAAGTCGAAGTATTCGTCCCACTCCGAGGTCACCGCCTTCGCGGACCTCGTCCCCGCGGCCAAAAGGCCCCGCAAGGGGCGCAGGAAAGCCGCTGCTGATGGGCAAGAGATCGCAGGAGGGGACGCGGAAGACCGCGTCCACATCGGCACGCGCCGCGAAGCCGCTGTCAAGATGATCATCAAGCACTGTTCGCCCGAGACCCTGAAGCTGTTCCAACTTCACTTGCAAACAGTTGGGGGCGACTGGAAGCGCTCCGCCTTGTCCGACGACACCCTGCTGCTGAGCTGGCTCTGGCCTGGCTCGACACCGCCGCCAGCGGCGCAGCCTGGCGAGGACGCGCGTCTTGCGCGGGCCGCCGCAGATCGAGCCACCAGGGACGCAGTGGCAGCCCGTTTCAGCACCCGCGACTTCTTTTTCACGGAGACCCTGACCGCTGACCAGTGCCTGGCAGTACGGCGAAAGGGGCTCGCCCTCTTCGAACAGGACATGGAGGACATCAGGAACCCCAAGCGCCCTGTCGAGGCTGACTGGATGGGGCACCGTCTCTTGGTGCAGCACTGGGACCTCACCATCCGGGAGTGTTGCAAGGCCGACCTGGACGAAGACACGTTCGAGAAAGTTGAGGATTCGATCCTCTACAACACGGCGATGGATGCGCAGCTCCTGACTTGCCTCTACAAGTTCCCCACGCAGTTCAACATCTGCATGATACCGGACATGCGGGGCGAGTTGGACATGGCGTTTGAGCCCACGGAGCAGGAGCAGCTCCTGCGCGATACAGCCAACAAAGCATGGGATGCGCAGGCGAAGCTACTGGAGATGGAGGTCAAGGCGGACCAGCAGGTGATCCAGCGCACCAGTTTGGGAAGCGCCCGCCTCCAGGACTTGCTGGACTGGAACGCCATGTTGCACCGCCAAAAGCAGGGGGAGACGTGCGAGAAACTTGCACGTAGTTTCATGGAGCACAATTTCCCAGTACTGAAAGCAGCCGAATGGCCACATCTGGCAGGGGCGTTAGCCACCGCCAGGGCCACGGGCCGCACAGAGAAGTGGGGCCCTGCGCCTGGGCGCGAGCTCTTGCTGATGATTCTGGACCTGAATGTGCCGTACTCCCGCCTTCCATTGCAGCTCGGGCACATGCTTACCGCGCTAGGCAACTGTGCGAAGGCCTGGGGGTCCAAGGAGACGCTGCTGCTCGTCGTGTTGCCGAAGTACCCCAAGGAGGGCAGCGAGGACCTGTGGGCCGAGGTTGTGGAGATCACCAGGAAGCTCCGTGGCGTGGGTTTCGGAAGCGCAAAGGAAGCCCACATGCAGATGGCGGAGCCAGATTCGGCTGGCATGGGAGGGTGGGGCACGGACACGCACATGCCCCTGCTACTGATGTGCCTTGCGGAGGACGATGAGGAGGCCCTTGGGAGGGATGCGCCGCCGAATTTCTGGCGCGTCCACTCCGAGCTGATGCGCGTCGGCGCCATATGGGCCCGCCCAGCTACCGTCTCACAGCATGACCTGTTGACCATGTCCGAAGCCGACCCCAACGTTCCAGCGAGCGAACGGCCCGCTGACAGGGAGGCGAAGGCGGCCCAGCGAGGGCCAGGCGTGTGGCAGGAGATCCTGAAAGCCGTGCTGGCCCAGGCCCCGTGCCCGCCGCCGAAGGCCCGGGGCTCGCCCGGGGGCCCCCTCAATCAGAAAGACGAAGTGTTCATCCTCGACGTGACGCCTTACTTGGGCGACCGTTGCGTCGCTTCGCTGCTGGCGATGCCGAAGAGGGAGAGCGAGACAACCAACGGGCCCAAGCTGAGGCATTTCATAGTGGATTCGGGAGCGCGGCGCATGGCCGGGGCAGCCGACTACGCCGCCACCCGCGTCAAAGTCAAGGTGGGCGAGGAGTGGGCCCGCCGCGAGAGGCACCTGTTCGCAGAGCAGCGCGACCCGAACGGCAAGACGACTTGGGCAGCGGTGCTCCCCGACGACACGGCGCCGCCGCCAGAGGAACATATGCTCCGGTTGGTCGACGGCGCATGGGAGGCATGGAAGGGCCTCGCGGCCTTGCCGCTCAAAGCGTGCATCGTGTCAGGTGGGGCGGTGCAGATCAAGCCAGAGCGACTGGCTGAATTCTCGGCGGCCCCCCTGCACCACCAGCAGAAGATCAACGCGCTGGAGTCCGACCACAAGAAGAATTTCGAGAGCTTGCTGCTGCACATGGCCCCTACTGCGAATGACGGGGCGCCGCCGGTGAGCGCGAACCCCGACCCCCGGGAGGATCCCGACAACATTCCGCAGGAGGACGCCCCCGTTCACCCCGACGAGGCCGCTCTCAGGGCGGCGTGCGACATCGACGCCGAGTGCTCCTGCCAGGGATTCAAGCAGGCCTGCGCCGGTTGCACCGACCCTGGCGCCGCCTGCCAGACCCCGCCCAGTCTTCGGAGAATGCCCGCGCAGCTTTTGCGCGCAATCGGGCGGAGCCGGAGCGGCCGCGCGATTGCATGTAAAGGTTGTGCGGGGATGGTATCCGAAGCCGCCCCGCCCGCCGCTCTCTGCAGGTCAAGTTGTTCCGCGACAAGACGGGCTACAGCATCTGGGCCATGGCGGAGAAGGGCGACCTGACCGTCCCAGCCTACACGATCTGGGGCTCGTTCGGGGGCGGCACAGTGCGCGCCGCGGACCCGGGCGCGTCGCTCGCCGTCGCTTTCGACCTGCCGCTCGGCGACAAGACGTTGATGCAGCTCAACTACGGCAGCAGTGTCAACGAGGGCGACCAGAAGTCCGCGCCGGCCGCGAAGACGCTATATGCTCTGGCCAAGCAGTTGAATGCCAAGAATGCGGGCGCCGCTGGCAAGAAGCTGCAGCTCACGGCTTTCGGCGAGCTCACGCCCCAGGGGAATGCCGGCAGCCACGGCTTCGGCTTCCAGCACCCAGCGGGCACGTCGGGCCACAAGAAGCAGGAGTGCACCCTCAACGTCGCCCCGCCCAAGAAGGGAGATACCAAAGACGCACCCGTGACGGCAGGCAATTTGTTTCAGCCCCTCGCCACGAGGCAGCCCGTGCAAGGGGGGCTGGTATATTGCTGGAAGGTCGCCTACGAGTCCGTGCGCCACCACGTGCAAGCGCGGAAGCCCCTCCTCATGAACCCGAAGCCCATGGTGTTGAAAAAGGGGCAGCCTAAGAAGGTGTTCTGGACTGCGCCACCGCCGTCGCCCGCCCCTGCGGCTGCGTGATCAACTGAACAGTCGAATCTCAGGCGGGCAATCGCGGACGTCGCGGCCTTCGCCAATCTATTGGGCGTTATCGCTCTGCCTCGCTCCAGCCACGGGGGGCCCGGGCCAGGAGAGCGGGGGGGAGGGGGGCGAGGAGGGCGAGGCGGAGGAGGAGGAGGAGGAGGAGGCGCAGGGAGGGGGAGGGGGATGGGGAGGAGACCGCATCCACGTCGGACCACCCACCCATGGAGCATTGCATTTGTTCATTGGGCTTGAAATGCCAGATTTTCGCCGCAGTCGCTCGCTCGCTGCGCGGCTGCAGCAACGACGTGGTGTTTGAACACAGGCAAAACCACCGAGGGAGGTGGGGAAGGGGGGAGGAACGGGGAAGGATTGGTCAGCCCGGGCGGACGAAGCAGCATTCTTCCAGCTCGGGGCCCTCCCTGGCCCTCCCTCTTTGCTCCGAAGCCTTTTGCCACTGCTGCCGCTTCTCCTGCTCTTCCTGGCCGCCCCTTCTCCCCGCTCCTCCCCATTCGCAGGTCCCCCTCCTCCTCCTCCCGCTCCGCCTTCTGGAGTGGAGCGTGGGTCACTGACACGCGCACGCGTCGCCCCCAGCACGGGCGTCTCTTGGGATGCGAGGGGGGTCGTGGCTTCCTCAAGCATTATTATGATGCCCCCGGTTTCCTCGTTTATTCTCGGAGGCGTCTGGATCACCCAGCCCTGGGGGCGTGCTCCAACGGGCTCGCATCCGCGCCCCAGCGCAGGCGGACTTGCGTCGAGTTGCCCTGGCCTTCCACTTCCATCATTCACCCCGCGAAGTGCCGCGGCCAGTTTTTCCTTGGAGAGTATGCCCGAGCGAGAGCCCCGCGCGATTGCATGTAAAAGTTGCGCGGGCCTCCCGCCTTTTTTCTCGAAGCGGTGCCGTGCCAGGTCGCGCGCTCCCCCTTTGGGTGGTGCCGTGCCCGCGCCGCGTCGGCGCGGAACCCTCTTGGGCCGGGCAGCCCAGGGTGGCGGGTGGGGGGTCATGTTATTTCAGGGCCCCTCAGAAATCACATCTCCATTGGGCGTGGCCTCGTCCCTCGTCCCGCTCTTTCCCCCGAAGCGGTGCCGTGCCATGTCGTGCGCTGCCCCTTTCGGTGCCGTGCCGCGCCGCGCCCCGCGCCGCATCGGACCTCTTTTGGGCCGGGTAGCACCCGGGCTGCGGGAGGGGGGGGCATGTTAGTTCATAGTTCCTCAAAAATAGTATCTCCATTGGGCGTGGCCATATCCCTCATTCCGCTCTTTTCCCCAGAAGCGGTGCCGTGCCATGTCGTGCGCTGCCTCTTTCAGTGCCGTGCCGTGCCCCGTGCCGCCCCGGATCCTCTTGGCCCGGGCAGCCCCGGGTGGCGGGAGGAGGGGCGTTATCAAAGCCCCTCATAAATAACATCTCCTTTGGGCGTGGCCCCATCCCACCTCCCGCTTTTTTCCTCGAAGCGGTGCCGTGCCAGGTCGTGCGCCCCCCCTTTCAGTGGTGCCGCGCCCGTGCGGCGTCGGCCCGGATCCCTCTTGGGCCGGGCAGCCCAGGGCGGCGGGGGTGCGCGGGGGGGGGTCATGTTATTTCAGAGCCCCTCAGAAATAACATCTCCATTGGGCGTGGCCTCATCCCACATCGCGCTCTTTTCCCCCGAAGCGGTGCCGTGCCATGTCGTGCGCTGTCCCCTTCAGTGCCGCGCCGTGCCCCGTGCCGTCCCGGATCTCTCTTGGGCCGGCCGGGCGGCGGGAGGGGGGGGCATGTTATTTCAGAGCCCCTCAGAAATAACATCTTTTTAAGGCGTGGCCTCATCCCACACCCCGCCTTTTTTCTCGAAGCGGTGCCCGTGCCAGGTCGCGCGCTCCACCTTTCGGTGGTGCCGTGCCCGGACCGCGCCGGCCCGGATCCCTCTTGGGCCGGGCAGCCCAGGGTGGCGGGAGGGGCGTCATGTTATTTCAGAGCCCCTCAGAAATGACATCTCCATTGGGCGTGTGCTCATCCTTCATCCCGCTCTTTTCCCCTTCCGCTGCCTCCTTCGGTGCCTGCCATGTCGTGCGCTGCCTCCTTCGGCGCCGTGCCGTGCCGTGCCGCGCCGTCCCGGATCCTCGTGGGCCGGGCAGCCCAGGGTGGCGGGAGGGGTGGTCGATGTGCTAATTATGTTCGGTTCGTATGTATAAGTCTGGGCCGGCCCGATTGCGCGTCAAAGTTGGTGTGTTGTGTTTGGGCCAGGCGCCGCGGTATGAATGTTGAATCCCGCGCGTCGTACTCTGCAATGTTATGTTATATTATGATATGTTGTGTTATGTTGAGGCCTGGCGCGTAGTAGTAATTCTTCACGCTTCGCGCATCCCCACCGGCCCATCCAGAAACAATGCCCAGGAGAGCTGGCGGGAGAAGGGAGGAAGAGACGCACATAGTGAAACAGCGCGGGCAATACCGCCGAATTGTGAGGTCTTTGGTAGCGAAGGATGCGGGTGCTGCTGCTGCTGCTGCTGCTGGTGCTGTTGCTGCTGCTGGCACTGCTGCTGCTGCTGCTGGTGTTGCTGGTTCTCGTGCTGCTGGTGCTGCTGGTGCTTCTGCTGGTGCTGTTGGTGGTGGTGGTGCTGCTGCTGCTGGGCTGGTGCTGCTGGTGTTGCTGCTGGTGTTTTTTGCCTCTGGTGGTGCTGTTGCTGGTGGTGGTGGTGCTGTTGCTGGTGCTGCTGATACTGCCGGTGCTGCTGGTGCTGCTTCTGGTGTTGTTGGTCCTCGTGCTGCTGCTGGTGCTGATGGTGCTGCTGCTGGTGCTGGTGTTGCTGTTGGTGGTGGTGCTGCTGGTGCTGCTGCTGGTGGTGCTGGTTCTCGTGCTGCTGGTGCTGCTGATCGTGTTTTTGCTGCTGGTGGTGGTGCTGCTGGTGGTGCTGGTGCTGCTGCTGGTGGTGGTGGTCGTGTTGCTGCTGGTGCTGTTGCTGGTGCTGCTGGCGCTGCTGGTGCTGCTGGTGCTGCTGGTGCTGCCGCTGCTGCTAATGCTGTTGCGGGTGGTTGTCGTGCGGCTGCTGGTGCTGCTGGTGCTGACGGTGATGGTGGACGCAGGCAGTGCAACAACCGCCTCGGAAGCGTTTTCTCGGAGGTCTCTTGGAGCCATTTTGGGGCTCTTTTGAGGGTTCTCTTGGGGCTCTCTTGGGGCCCTCATGGGGCTCTGTTGGGGGGTCTTGGGGCTTCTTGGGGCTCTTTTGGGACTCTTTCGGGGGGTCTTGGGGCCCTCTTGGGGTTCTTTTGGGGGGTCTGGGGGGCCTCTTCGGGCCATCTTTGAGGCCACGGCTGAAAAAAGAGGGCGGCGTAAATTCGGATCGCCCCTTCGGAGGCTCAAGGCGGGCGTCTTGGGCCCCTCTTGGGCCGCTCTTGGAGCGCTCTTGGGCGCTCTTGGGGCCCTCTTGGGGCCTTCTTGGGCCTCTCTTGGGGCTCTCTTGGGCCATCTTTGGGCCATCTTGACGCCTCAGGAGCCCATCGGAAGCGAAAAGGCGAGATAGCAAAAAACATATGTTTTCTTTAGGTTTTGGAGCCATTTTGGCCTCTTGGGGGGCTCCTTGGAGGGCTCGGAGGGCACTTGAAACCGTGTTGGGGCCGTCTTGAGGCCTCTTTGATGCTTGTCGGAAGCTATCTGGAGCCATCTTGAGTTATCTTGAGCCATCGTGGAGGCAATCTTGGGCTCTCTGACGCCCTCTTGGAGCCATCTTGGGCCGAAAAGGACCTTCTGCCACCTCGCGGCCCCTCCCGTCCAGACCCAGGGAGAGGGGGTAGGGGGAGAGGTAAACCTCTCGCCCGAGCAGGGGAAGGAGGAGGTTTTGACAGAGAGAAGACATAGCTCCCTAACCACCTCAGCCCAGAGGGCTGGCGGGATTACGCGTGTTTCGGGCTGGCTCTCTGGCATGCAGCAGTTGCGCGGGTTAGCACTGGTTCCGTTCGGCCAGCCGGCTCGCGCACCCTGGCTGGATAGCAGGTTCGCGCGGGCATGTTGGGCCAATATGCCCACGCACGCCAGCAACCCAGGGTTGCAGAGGTGCCGTGCGACCCGACATTTTCGCCCATCGCATCCTGGGATCGCCAGGGAGGCCCGAGCACCCCGGCACTAGCAGTCGCACCGACCCGGGCCCGTGGGCGCCCGCGCGGGTGCTCCAAGATCGGCTCCGCGCCATGGCATCCAAGCAAAGCTTCGTGGAGCAGGTGATTGCCGCCTTGCCTGCCAGTTCGCTTGGGGCGCGGCAGGCAGCAGCGCAGCAAGCCCCATGGCTGTCGTCAGCCGGCCACCAGAGGATCGGGGACAGACCTCCTCTTCCAATTCCAGTTCGCCCCGCTGTGCCCCGCGCGCTGCCCGGGAATCCTGCCCCAACTCTGACAGGGCGCAGGGCGCGGCCGGGCGAAAGGATTGGAAACGTTGGCCTGCCTCGAGGATTGGAGACACACCGCGCAGCCCCTCCGCCATCACCCCGTCACCTGCGAAGGTGCCCCGTACGCTGCAGTTCCGCCACGCGGCGCCGGATGACGCTGCTGGATGTGAGGGGGAGGAGGTGGCCCCCATCCAGTTACAGAGCCTCTTCGGGGACGTGGGGCCCGGCTGGGAGGAGCAAATGAAGGCGGACGTTGCCAGTGCGGCAGCCGCCGAAGAGCCCCGCGCGGAAGTCACGATTCCCGTTACTGGCGTGTCCCCGACGGTACCCACGAAGACGCCCGCGGCTCCCACCTCGGAGGCAAAACCCGCCAACGGCGCCCCCCCTGGGGCCCGCTCCGAGCTCGCCGTCGCCCACGTCGAATCCGGGGCCCGCTCCTGGAATTTCTCCTGGGCATCAGCCCCTGCGGCGGCCGCGGCGCAGGAGGCCGTGGCGCAGGAGCCTGCAGGAGCACTCAGGGCGCCGAAAGCATCCGCACCCATTCTGTTTCAGGGGCGGGCGGGGATGTCCCCCCCTTCCCCCTTCACTGCCTCCCCCCCCCCTCTTTCACTGCCTCCCTCCTCCCCCCCCGCCCTCCCGCCCCCGCCCCTCCCTCCTTCCTCCCTCCCTCTCTCCCTCTCTCCCTCTCCCCCTCCCTCCCCCCCCTCCTCCCTCCCTCTCCTCCCCTCCCTCCCTCCTCCGCCCCTCTTTCCCCCCTTCCCCCCCTCCACCCCCTTCCCTCCCTCCTCCCCTCCTCCCTCCCTCTCCTCCCCCCCCCCCCCCCTCCCTCCATCCCTCCTTCCCTCCTTTCTCTTTTCTCTCTCCTCCCTGCCTACTCCTCCTCCCCCCCCCTTTCTCCCCCCCTCCCCTCTCTCCTCCCATCCCTCCCTTCCCCCCTTCCTTCGACCACTACGTGGGATAGCTGTCTTCGGAGTCGGCGTCGGCGTCGGAGTCGTCGTCGTCGTCGTCGTCGTCGTCGTCGTCGTCGTCGTCGTCGTCGTCGTCGCTCGTCGGCGTCGTCGTCCGCGTCGTCGTCGTTTTCTGAGGGCCTTTCTGCCCGCCAACGTGGGGGCAGAAATCCCCTCACCGTCTGGACGTCGTCGCCGTCGTCGCTGACCGTCGCCGTCGTCGTCGTCGCCGCCGCCGTCGTCGTCGTCCGTCGTCGTCGTCGTCGTCGTCGTCGTCGTCGTCGTCGTCGTCGTCGACTCTTAAAACATCCCTAAGGCAAAGCACGGCCCCTAAAGCACATCCCGAAAGCACGGCCCCTAAAGCACATCCCTAAAGCACGGCCCCTGAAACATCCCTAAGGTAAAACACAGCCCCTCAAACATCCTCGAAGCACGGCCCCTGAAACATCCCTAAAGCACGGCCCCTGAAAATCCCTAGAGGCGGCGAGGGCCAGAAGCAGGTCCCGGGCGACCAGCAGCCGGCCAGGCGCGGGCGCGAAGCCGCACCCGTGGATGCCAGGGAGGCCCCGGAGGCCACCGTGGAGGCCGAGGAGACCAAGGAGCCCGCGGGCGACCAGCGGCCGGCCAAGCGCGGGCGCAGAGCCGCGCCCGTGGAGGCCAAGGAGGCCCCGGAGGCCACCGCGGAGGCCGAGGAGGCCAAGGTGGCCCCCGTTGAGGCCGAGGAGGCCGAGATGCAGAAGCAGAAGGCCGAGGAGGTCAAGAAGGCCGTGGAGGCCGCCAAGCAGGTCGTGCTGGCCAAGATGCAGAAGCAGAAGGCCGAGGAGGCCAGGAAGGCCGAGGAGGCAAAGATGCAGAAGCAGAAGGCTCAGGAGGCCAGGAAGAACGTGGAGGTCAAGAATGGATGGACTGTCTACACGCACACGACGCCATCAGGGCGCGAGTACCCAGTGTACCAATCGCCGGGCCCGAACGGCAAGAAATATACCATGGTCTACGACGTGACCGGCACTAAGTTTTGAAGGCCCGTGGGCTTCGCAGGGGGTGCTTCGGGACTTATTGTGAGGCAGGCCCCCGGCATGATCCCAAAAGGCCCCGACAAGGCCCTCACGAGGGCCACAACGAGCCTTTGACGGCTCACGAGGTCCACCATATGCACATGACGGCAGACTAACACGATAGGCCAGCGTGACAGACCATCATGGCAGGGTTATACCTCGAAGTTGCATGGGGGACAAGCATACATGATCCTATCGCATATGTGTTGGTCTGCTGTGGTGCATGTCTGGCAACGGAGTTGATATGGCAGTTTCAAACAGACAGTCTCTCACAAGCGCGGTGGACAAAGCGGCACTTCCCGTTCTTGTCCGGACAGGTTACAGCGTTCCCACGGCGAAGAATGCCGGCTACAGGCAGTGAGCGCGGTGGCGGGATCGCGGCACGGTCCCCTCGCTCCTCGGTGCTCGAGCTTCGTACCTCGGCGTGGGCCCGCCGGAATCTCCTTCCGTTGCGAGCCTCGCGGGCGCGTGCCCCGGGGCCCGTAGTGCCCGTGGCAAGGCCGGGAGCGGGACTGCTCGGGCGTGGCGGCGCGGGGCGCGGGGCGCGCCTCGTTCCTTCCACCCTCTCTGTGTTATTTCGACGATTGCCACTACAACTTGCGTTCGTGGTAGATCACGGCGCGTTGTGATTTTTACCATGTGCATACTACCTCCTACGCTGATCCCATCGCCAGAACATCCTCTCCCTTTTGCTCTCTGTCTCGCCGCAGTCTCCCCCTTTCTGGCCCCCTCCCGTTGTCTGGGTCGTTCCTCGGGGGGCCCATGAACAATCGCCGCTGCTCTCCCCCGCCCGCGGGGGGATGATGGGACAAGGGCGGGCGGAGCAGGGGCGGGTGCAAGCTCCAGTTTGCAGTTGGCCCAAGCCAGAGTTGAAATTGGATTTGTAAGAGTGCCCTTAAACTATATATTTTCTATTGCTGAATCTGCCGATCATCCCCATCGCCCTCCTGCCTTCTGCTGTTCTCAGATAGGGCCGTGAAGAGGCCCAAGGCCAAGCGTCAACATGTATAAAAATATCGAAGACGCCTACGGCGAATCACCGCCGCCCCCTGCCTTTGTGGAAGCGCCTATGTGGCCGAACGTTGAGGCCAGACCTGCCAAGCCATCGGACCATGTGTTCCCCGAATCGGTTTGGAAAGCCTTCGGGGAACACGTGGGCGTCTTGATGGTCATCGTCGCCGTCTTGGAGGCCTCTTGGGCGATCTTTCGGCGATCTTTGGGGGCTCTTGGGCCGTCTCGGGCCGTCGGAAGGCCGAAAAAAGGGAAATGCCCAAATCCATCAAAAACCTTGGAAAAATCAGTGATTTTGGCATTTTTTGGCCTTCCTGGAGGCCCTCTTGGGGGCCTCTTGGGCCCTTTTGGGCCAGCTTCGAGCCAACTTCGGCCATCTTGGTGGGTTCCTGGCACGTCTGACGCCGTCGGGAGCCGTTTTGGGGGCCTTTCTGGGCCAACGGGGGACCCTCTTGGGGCGCTCCAGGGCCGTCTTGGAGGCCATCTTGGGCGTCTTGGAGGCCATCTTGGGCGTGTTGGAGGCCTCTTGGGCCCTCTTGGGGCCCTCTAGGGGCCATCTTGGAGGCCACTTGGGCCATCATGGGGCTCTCTTGGGGGCCTCTTGGGCGATCTTGGGGGCTTCTTGGGCCGTCTCGAGCCGTCGGAGAGCCGAAAAGGCGCAAATGCCAGAATCCTTCAAAAACCAAGGAAAAATCAATGATTTTGGCCTCTTCGGACTCTCCTGGAGGACCTCTTGGAGGCCTCTTGGGCCGTCTGGGAGGCCTCTGGGGGGCCTCTTGGGCCGTCTTGGGCCGTCTTGGACTCTCTTGGGCCGTTTTGGAGGCCGTCTTGGACCATCTCGGGCGGACTTGGAGGCCATCTTGGGCCATCTTCGCGATTTTTTGAGGATGTCCCGAGCGAAACGGCCGTTTTTTGGAGGATTTGTTGCGGTCGTTGAGCACGTTTGGGGATTTTCCGGGTGGCCGGCGGGTTCTGCCGGAGCCCACTGGGGAGTTCTTTTGGAAAAAGAACCAAAACCAAAACCTAACAGCTCATCCAGCACGCCGTGCACCCCTGCAAGCAGGGGGCGGCGGATCCAGCTGCCTGCGGCAAGTCCCGCCACCGTGCCAGCCAAGCATGCTCGGCGGCGATTGTCCGGGAGGGCGTTGGAGGCATCTTGGATGTTCGTGGGGATCCTTATTCTGAGATGCCTGTTGGGGGTCTGTTGGAGGCAGTTTTGAGGTCTCTTGGGGGCTGTTTGGGGGCCTCTTGGGGGCCTTTTTGGGGGCCTCTTGGGGTCCTCTTTGAACTTCTTGGAGGCCCCATCGGGGCCTTCTGGGGGCCTCTTCGGGCACAAGGATCGAATTGCCGGTGTTTCTTCCCCCTCTTGGACTTCTCTTGGGGCTGTCTGGGGGGTATCTTGGGCTGTCTTGGGCGCCTCTTAGGCCGTTTCGAGGCCCTCCGGGGCCGTCTTGGGGCCCTTTTGGGGGCCTCTCGGGACGTCTTGGGGCGTTCTTGGGGGCCCCTGGAGGCGTATTGGAGCGTCGGAAGCTCGAAAAGGCGATAACATGAAAAAAAAACATTGAAAACAATATGAAAATCGTTTTTTTGGCCTCTTGGGGGTCCTCTCTGAGCGCTCTCGGGTCTTCACCGGGGCCTCTTAGGCCGTCTTGGAGGCATCTTGGGCCATCTTGGCGGCTTTGGTGGCCTCCCAGGTCCGTCTTGGCAGCCATGTTGGGCGTCTTGGACGCCTGGGAGAGCGCCAGGGGCGCGCTTGGGCGCCGACAGAGCCCCGGGAAGAGGGGGCGATCCACGCAGCGCGGCGCGGCCGGGGGGGGGGGGCCCTTAGAAGATTACAGAAACCCTGCAAGACAGCACTTGGCATTCTAGCACGCCTCAGTTCCTCACTTGTAGCGGCGCGCGACGCGCGTGCGCGCGCGCCCGCGCGGAGCTCCGCCCAAGGCGCCAGTGGCACCGCCCGCGTGGTGGCGGCGCCCCGTTTCGCGCTCAGATTTCGGATGACTCGCCCGCGCGCGGGTCCCTTGTGCGGTGCGCGGTACCCAGGGAATCGCATGGAGTGGGACTGCGCCAACTCATGTTGAGGCTCGAAGCTCGAACTTTAGAGTTGGCTTTTCCCAGCAAGCTATCGGATGACCCAGCCGCGCGTGGGTCGCTTGTGCGGTGCGCGGTACACAGGGAATTGCATGGAGTAGGGTTGCGCGAGCTCATGTTGAGGCCCGAAACGTACATTTTATAAGTGGCTTTTCCGAAACTGTTTTCGGGTGACCCGACCGCGCGCTGGTCACTTGTGTGGTGCGCGCTTGGGAACTTCGTATATAAACTTCGTTGGCCTGGAAGTTGAAATAAACCGTTAGCCGTGGCCGCTTGGAGCTCCAAGTTAAGATGCATGTTTGTTAGTTTCCTCTCAGTCAGACGTCGATGCGCTGGTTTGCAAACACAGCGGCCCCTGAGCGCACTCCGAGCGGTGGCCGGGTCACCCGCGCGGGGGCTGGGTCACCCGCCCATGGGGATTTCGTATAGCGCGGAATTGGAAAATCGCAATGTTGGCCTGAAAAAGGCACATGGAGACTTTAGCGGTGTTCTATTAAATTCCCCCTTCAACGAACATCCATTTTGATTTCCAATCAGAGGGCCTTCGGCAGGTTGGCTTGGAAAGCGCAGTGAGCCCCGACCCTGCCCCGAGCGGTGGCCGGGTCACCCGCGCGGTGGCCGGGTCACCCGCCGCGCGCGCATGAGAAGCGCATATTCCGCAAATGGACAATGGCCATGTTGGCTTGGGAACTATCATGAACCCTGGGCGGTGCCCGATTGGAATTCCAAGTTGAATTGCATTTGCGTGGTTCCTGAACCATGCCCAATTCGGCGCGTCGGCTCGGAAAACGCAATGGCCCCTTAGCCTGCTCCGAGCGGTGGCCGGGTCACCCGCGCGGTGGGTCACCCGCCCCGCGCGCGCATGGGGAATTTGTATAAAAACGCAAATGGAAACTGGCCGTCTTGGCCTGGAAACTAAAATGGACCCTTTAAGATGGCCGGTTGAATTTCCAAATATACTTGAAATGTTGCGCGTCTCCAGTCAGGAAGAAGTCGGCGCGTCGTCTTTCGAAAGCAAAATGACGTCTAAAACGCCTATTGAACATCACATGTTTTTCAAAAAGGCTTTGGCTGATTGAAGGTTTTTTCGGGGAGTTCGGAGGGCACTTGGAGCCGTCCTGGAGCGATCTTGAGAGCTTTTGGAAGCACGTTGCGAGCTTTCTTGAGCCAACTGGCGCTATCTTGCGCGATCTTGGAGTCCATCTTGGGCTCTTTAGGTCCCTCTTGGAGCCATCTTAGGCCATCTTGGGCGCTCCAACGACCCGCGGTCCACCCCCTCCAGGCCCAGGGGGAGAGGGGGGGGGAGAGGGGGGCCCCACTCCCCGAAGAGGAAGAAGAGGGTTTAGGAGAACAAGCCCCCTAGACCACTCACGCCCTAAAGGGCAGGCGGGATTCGGCGCATTGACATGGAAAGCACAGCGGCCGCTTAGCGCGCCCCGAGCGTTGGCCGGGTCACCCGCGCGGTGGCCGGGTCACCTGCCGCGCGCGCGCATGGGGGGGTTGTATACCCCGCAATTGGAAAGTGGACCAAGGTGGTGCTCCCTTGGCGCCCTGTTGGGTTCGTCGCGTGGCCCTCGTGGGCTCGTCTTGGAGCCCTCTTGGGACGCGTCGGAGCCATCTGGACGCCTGAAGAGCCCGTGGGCCGCGAGAAAGCGAGAACGCGCAACAGATTGAAATGCGCAGTGGTTTCCTAGCAATTTTGGACGCTGCGCGTATCCCGACCAGCCCATCCAGAAACAACGCCCAGGAGAGATGACGGGAGAAGGAAGGAAGCGACGCACATAGTGAAACAGCGCGGGCAACAAAGGTGAATTGGGAGATCTCTGGTAGCGAATGGTTCGGGTGGTGCTGCTGGTGCTGTTGCTGCTGCTGGTACTGCTACGCTGGTACTGCTGCTGGTATTACTGGTTCTCGTGCTGCTGATGCTGCTGGTGCTGCTCGTGCTGCTGCTGGTGCTGGTGGTGGTGGTGCTGTTGCTGGGCTGGTGTTGCTGGTTCTTGTGCTGCTGATGGTGCTGCTTCTGGTGCTGCTGCTGGTGGTGGTGGTGCTGCTGTGCTGGTGCTGCTGGTGATGCTGGTGCTGCTGCTGGTGCTATTGCTGGTGGTGGTGGTGCTGTTGCTGATGCTGCTGGTGCTGCTGGTGTTGCTGGTTCTCGTGCTGTTGCGTGGTGCTGCTGGTATTGCTGGTGTTGCTGCTGGTGCTGCTGCTGGTGCTGTTGCTGGTGGTTGCGGTGTTGCTGCTGCTGGCGCTGACGGTGATGGCGGAAGCAGGCTGTGCAACAACCGCCTCGGAAACGATTTCTCGGAGGTCTCTTGGAGCCATCTTGGGTCTCTTTTGGGGTTCTCTTGGGGCCCTCTTGATGCCCTCTTGGGGCTCTCTGGGAG